CTGGTTATGGCTCCCCTACACAACGTAGACATTTGCTAAAAACACAGTCTGAACTCCCACCAATTCTGAAGAACTGTTAGGCTATCTATATAACTGAATGGGCACCTTTTTCTTCCTGTTTAAAAAGCTGCAGTATAAGCATTACAGAAAGGAATGTGAAACTCCATTTCCAACTAGCAAGACTAGGTCTGGAGAAGTGTTCAATATATTTAGACATTGTAGAAAAAAAAAAACAGTTACATTATTTTGAGAAAGAAGGTATTATAACATAGTTGAAGTCCTCTACACCTTCTGTCAAGAGCTTTCTAATTGCTCAAATACGATGAAAACATTTATTAATACCTGGGTTAAGCATATCTAAAATGAAAAGTTTTCCTCAGGATTTGCTACCTAGATTGAGCACCACTGCTGCTTGGAAGAAAACAGGTAACCCTGTTTGAGATCCAGCAACAGACTGTCAGATTTATGCTTAGAAGATAACATAACCAGATTGCTGCTTCCTACCCGCAAATCAGAGATTTGGCTAGCGAGACCACAGTTCTAGGTTGATAAAGCAGGACAGACAGCACCTTGTGACAAAGGCTAAGTCTACAAAGCCAAGTAAAGTTATTCTGAAAAAGAATCGAGTTTAAACCTGAGTTATAACTGTTACTCAGTAGCTATCATCTCATTCAAGTTTACACCATTTTCAAAATAACTCAATTCTGATTGCCTCACACGTTTCCTTCCTGCCTCCCCACCACAGACCAAAATATTGTTAGTTAAGAAATAGGGCTTTTTGCAAGTCATCTATTTTTCTGTTAGCAATGAGCTGTGAGTTAAAGGAAAAGCTAAGAGGGGTAGGAGGATTTCTTACAAAGATTATTAGAATTTTTTCTACAAATTAGCTACCATGGCATAGAAACAGATCTAAAAAATAGGATACATCAAAATGTGCACACTTCATGGGGAAGATTAGGGTGTACAATCTTCCATATTTGTTAATTTGCTTAAGTGTTATCTAACAATAGTTAGATAGTACTACTACTACTTCATTAAGTAGTACCATAGCTAGGGTACCAAAAAAAGAAAAGAAAAAAATTCACATAGCAAGCTAACTAGCATGCTGTGCTGCTTTCAGTAAGCAGGCTGTTCTCAGTGAGGTATCATTCATGCTACAAAGACCACATGTTATGTTATATAAATGCAACAGGAACAGCTAATTCAAGAAATTTGACAAGCATTCTCCCCGAAACGTACACAAGTGAATCCCTCAATTCAAGAAACTCTGGAGATGAAAGATTAAAAACCCAAGTTGTTCTGCCTGTAACATGGAGATTTTTTCCAAATTTTTATTTAAGTGGAGAGCACTGTAAAGCCAAAAATCTTCAAAATAAAGCAATTTTAGTCAAATTGGAGCCTAATGTTTAGAACCACTAAAAAGGTGGTTCTTCTGTTGAAACTTCTGTTACAAGGATGGACAGTACAGGTGCATAAGCTAAAATATTTTACAGGTAATTATTACAGGAATCGATTGATTTAGTCAAGCTTATGCTATCTCTACTCCACATCATTTATCCTTGATACTTTATTTGATCTAGCAGCTTTGGATTAAAATTCAACAGGAGAATTACACCACTGACTTTTACATATAAGGAACTGAAGCTTCAAAGTCCTGAGGTAAGTACAGCTGAGTAGATACATTATTATATTTCACACCTTAAACACTTGGATAAGAACCAAAAATACAGGAACCTTGTAGAAGTGTCTACACAGCAAATGCAGTGTGCCTAGGAGGAACAGATACCTGAAGTTTGGGGTTTTTTAATTTATAAAAGAGGTTAACACCTGCTGCTGCAAAGGAAAAACTGCCATGTGAAAAGAGTCACCTCTCCACCCTCTGTATAGTCTTTATGTTCAAAACTCTTCCTACACAAGAAGCAACCATGTCAGCTTTCCACAAATTGTCAGAGTAACAACCACTCCCCTAACACAGAGCATCAAATCCTAGAGATATGACGTAGAACACGGGCTAATCTTCAGCCCTCTAATTAGCAATCACTTGTCCTTTCTTTAATATAGAGCCCTTGCCTAAAACATAATTCATACTTTACTATTACAAACAAGCTTTCTAATATAAATGTAATGCTTAATAGCAAATGCATTTCCTTTCCAACCCAACCATATGCCCAGGAAGGTTTCTGACAAACAATTTACAGTTTTTACTGTGCTGACAAATAACCAGTGAAGACCTGGTCTTGAATTTAAACACAGGAATAAAGTCAGTCTATGTTGCACCTTTAAGAAGTATCCCACATTTGATTAAGGAGTTGACTGGTCTGTTATTTTTTCCACACACACAGACATTCATTTTTGCTCAAGGTACTTACAAATATGTTTATATAAATATTTAAAAAAATACACAACATAAATATTTAATGTTTATATTTATAAAACCTGTGTAAATATACAGTATAAGCATATACTGTACACTATACATTTTATATACTTACACATATATAATATATACACAATTATATATGTAAACACACCTTTTATACACACATTTTTAAATTGCAACTGAAAGGAAATAGCACTAAACAGCATTAGCTCACAAATTCAAAAAATGCTACAGAACAACAAAAATGTACCAATTTTCACAAAACTATACTCTTCATGAAAGAATCAAGTTTTAGATATTCTGTCATTTACCCTGTAAATGGAATAAAAATATAGACTCAAAAATAGTCTACAAATTTCATTTCAAGATTTAAGAGCCTTTAAGATTTCCAATCTTTTGGCATACAAAAACTCTAAGCAGGGGAGCAAAGGAGTGTGCTTGGAATGAACTGAAGACAACCTGAACAGTGTTTATATTGTTCAGCTAACTGACCACCAACTTTCCTTAAAAAAAAAAAAAAGTACCACTAAAATATGGCACATAAATCTTTTCAAAACAGACCAAAGCAGTGTCTACAGTCCTAACTGCTCTCATCTCTACATACGCTGAAATTTAACTTCACTCTATTTTTCATATACTCACTTTTAGAATTAACTACATACATACTCTGAACACCTCACTACACAGAAGCAGCATCCTGAACTTCAGATTAAAAACGGATGATGCAGCAAGAGAGAATTTTTATGTACTCATACTAAATACTCCATGCTGCATCAATTTGGCATCTGACCAAGAGTTACAGTATGGGGTCAGATACACATGGAAACCACACTGATACATTAAGCTCTTGCAGAGATCACACAATCTGTCTGCTGCATGAAACCAGAGAACAAACTCATATGAAAATAGCATCAGTAGGAGTTTGTGTTTGACTCCCTTTCTAATTACACATTGATTTATATATGTCTCTCCTAAGACAGCAGTCAGTAACACACAGACAACATTCATTCAGAATTATACAGTTACATTATTGACAGAAAGTTTACTTTTTAAAAAGGTCTTTGTCCAGCATAACACCATCTGAAGTTGTCTGAAGGGTCAGTCTTAACATATCCATGCACTCTTTCAATCGTGGATCAGATGTACGTAATCCTGTTGATTTGAGTGCCTATTACAATAAAACAATAATTACCAAAATGAAAAAAATATGCTATTACAATCAAGTTCTCTATGGCTCCGTCTCATTTATCAAGATAAGAGACATCTGCCACTGCATTACCAACACAGAGACATTCTGACACCTTATTGATCATTTTGCCATTTCCTTCTGCCATTTTGGCTGCATCTGATGTCAAAGGATTAATGGCATTTGAAATCCACAGTGGTCCAACTACATTTTACGCAAGTGCAAATACTACCCAGTCCTGACATAGACACAGATCTTTCAAACATACTCTTTTGCACAGCAAAGCAGTGAATAACAACTAGTACAGTCATTCTCTTATTAAATTACAGAAATAGTGTTTGGGGGGGGGGGAACCCACACAGAATACAGTAAACAGTGTTGGGGGGGAGGCAGAATATAGTTATTCCTTGCTGCAGCTAATCACGTATAACAGAAATTCTTTGCTTTGTATTCTTGCATTTAGACTGTTAAAAAAAAAACCAAAACAACTTGCAGTAGTTAGCTTTCATACAGCACTCTGAACAGTGAACTTACAGTTATGAATTTATGAACTGGTATTTTTTCTTGTCCTTCCGCAATAGTATAGAAAAGCAGATCTTCTAAGCTAGGAAGGAGACCTTGCTTCATTTTACTGAAAAAAAAAAAAAAACCAAACAAAAGAAAACCAAACATGCATAGGTTAGTTTAGTGCATATTTTTATTTATACACATTTTTGCATTATTCACAAGGAAACACGTTTTCACTACCAATATAACTGCTACCATTAATTTCAAAGACCACTTCTATCAGGGAACAAAAAGCTTAATTCAGCTTTAAGTAGGAAAAAAATAGTAATATTAAAAGTAGCATACATACACAATTGCAAACGTTTTTAACTGCAACATAATCATGTTTTTACTGACACACATTTATTGCTAAGATTACATTTAGAAGTTTTTTTGAGCAGATTCATCACGTTTCCCTCTTCTTGATGTTAGAGAGGACAGACGTGTTACGCGCACAGGGGATAAAGTATTTATAAGACACGAAGTCCTACGTGCCTCATAATAAAGTTGTGAAAGCAGAGTGACCCAATGGTTCCACAGGCAAGAGAAAGTAAAGAGATGATGAATGTCTATTATTTTCTTCAAAACAGTTCTGTTTTTAGGAACTCCTAGGAGGAGTCCTAAAGCCCTTGTCCTTCTAGAAGCTTACGTAAGCCACAACAGTCACAGTAAAAGCAAGCAAAGCCATCTGCAGCACACTACAGTAACTTGAACCAGCTCCGGCACCAGAAGCAGTAACTCTCATCGTGCGTACTTCGCAGAGTAAGTTAACGTGCAGCGTAGGTACATCTTTAATGGTCACTATGTTTAGCAATGTAAATACACTGGCTTTCCAAGTATTCCATGTGTTAACTATTTTACTCTGAGATATGCTTCCTGCATGCCTGCATTTTTTTGCAACTTATACCTCCATTTTAAGTGAAACGTGAAGGAAACCTAGCAGATTAAGCATCAAGACTCCTTCCAAGAGAGAAAGCTGCAACACTGACAGCTTTCCCTCGAAGTCTTCGGTTTAACCTCAGAGTTTTGCCTTTCCCCGATATTCCAAAGCACCCTGCAGCAGGCAGGAGCACAAGTCTGTACTCAGTAAGTACAGCACCAGAGCACAGAGCTGGAATGTACGCGTCCGAACTGCTAGAGGCAGTGATAGCAAAGGGCTTTGGATCAATTCTCTCAGTCCCCTGAAGTGCGTAGGTTTGTTTCTAGACAAAGTCAGTTTAGAGAAAGCCAATGTTCTGATGTTTGATAAGCAAAAATAAATAACACCAAAACAGTTCTCTAGTAAATGTAGACGTACACTAACTAAAATGCAGTCTTACATTATTTTAGCCATCAATTTTAAAGTTCAATCTTATAATCTAATAATATTGGTAATACTTTGTTACTGTACTGTAATATATAAAAGTTACTGCCCAAAACTAGAATGCTCCTTGGCAATTTATCTGTTGTTATACATGTATGCATGTGTGTACAAAAAGCAGATCTGAATTCTAGCCATGAAAAGTTTTCACAAAATTAGTAATTCTTTGAATATCAGTACTCAGTTATAACTATGAAAATAAAATACTACAACTAAGCACAGACCCTAGCTAGGCCAATACAATCTTACAGACTGACGCTTAATCCTCCCTCCTCTCCCAATACTAGCTTACTCTAGCTCAACAACAGGTCAGATTTATGATTATTTTTAATAAAAATCTGATTATATCCAAATACCCTTCTAAATTTAAGACAACCTTTAGACTGCACTCGCCTCCCTCCTTTCCTCATAACTAGCAGTGAAAACCAGTAGTAAAAGTCTCACTTCTCATTTTCCAATTTATTTAAAACACTGTACTTACATACTAAGAACAGAAGACAGCTTTGTAAGCCAACAGAACTTTCCTTGTCTTCCAGTCTGGATTTTTTTTTTAAATGATGCTGGCTGACTAATGCACAGACAGGCTGGCAATTCAACCAAGACAAATGCTTGCAACTACCTCAAGCAAATTACTGAACACCCTTTTTCCTAAAGAAAATTCAAGTCTTCCACGCAGCACATTGTGCTTTCAATCTTTTGAGAACAGTATGTCCAGTCAAGCCAACAGAACCAAAACTACTAACACAGCAATTAAAGCTTCATCCTGTATCTGCATCCTAACTCTACAGCTACATACTTTGTTTTTGAAAGCTATGCTGAGTTACATAGTCTACACCCCTACATTGTCCCCATTTACACAGAGCATGTTACTAAACTCCCAACGCGTCAAGATTTCATGTTTTAAAGAATATCTCTGTTACAAGACTCATTACTGGATTGCTGAAGGTCTGACAGAGGAAACTTCCGTATTTCACTTTGACAAAAGAAGCCGGCAAACACATTGAGAAATTTTAACTGATAACCTATTTAATTACAAGTTTCTGAGCCACTACTCAGAATTTTACAGCTGTTCCAAATGTGGAATTTCTATCTGGAAGGGTGCAGGAAAAACACTTCAGACATTCATCCAAGATTTTTATCTGCCTCTTCATAAGATTTTAATCTATTAAAGAGATGTACACCTTTCGCAGCATAAATTCTCTCATGACATACTTTCCATATCCTTCACATCTGCTGCTGTTCAATATTGGGTCAGTCAGCCTAATTTAACAATGGATCTGCACTGACTGCCAAAGCAAAGAGGATGGCATTCAATATATTTACAGAAAATTGCTCTTTGTCAAATAGTCCACCTTTTGATAAAGTTTATCAGCTAAATAGAGGTGGAAAGGCTTGCTCTGCAGTTTATCAGGTCAGTGATGTCAGTAACTAATGTTTGCTTAACCTAAAAGCTATGTTTTGGCACTGTGAGCACACTTAGCAAGACAGTGCTGTTCAGCACGCATAAAAAGCTGTTTTTCAAGTCAGGGAACTTGCAATTTCCACGGTCGAATTAAAGTGGAAATTCCAGTTTATTCCATTTCATGAATAATGACTTTTCATACTTATTTCCCTTCTTAAAAAAAAAAAAAATTAAGCACCAGACTATTACATAACTAGACTTCTTCAGTGGTAATCTGTGGACTAGAATACTGGTGGATGCTCCACACTGCTCTTTAAATATAAAGAAAAACAGAATGCAGGAATTCCAAGCACAGGGACTTTGCCATCTATATCATTCCTTCCTTTAGCTCCTCCTTTTGCATCAGTACAATGCTTATACCACATTCCATGGAGGATTTCATTTTAACAAAAGCTGAATTATAATTTCTACAATAGAAAAGAGATGAAATTTCAAATACAGTGAAAAATTCCTAGTTTGTACTTCAAGATGTAACTGGCAAAATGCAGAACAGAATTTATAGAACAAAAGATATAAAGATATGACACTGCTAGTAATAGTTTCAGGCTCATTATTAACCATAAGACACCAGTCATAAAAACATGAGGTCACAACAACTGTCATGAACAGCAGTCTCTAAGGGGGTCTGTATTGGGACCAGTACTGTTTGACATCATCATCAATGACACAGTGGGATCAGTGCACCCTCAGCAAGTTTGCAGATGCCACCAAGCTGAGTGGTGCGGTTGACACGCCTGAGGGACAGGATGCCATCCAGAGGGACCTGGACAAGCTCAGGAAGTAGGCCCACATGAACCTCATGAGGTTCAACAAGGCCAAGTGCAAGGTCCTGCACCTGGGACGGGGCAACCCCCAATATCAATACAGGCTGGGGGATGAAGGGATTGAGAGCAGCCCTGTGGAGAAGGACGTGGGGGTACTGGTGGATGAAAAGCTGGACATGAGCCAGCAATGGGCGCTTGCAGCCCAGAAAGCCAACCGAATCCTGGGCTGCGTCAAAAGAAGCGTGGCCAGCAGGTCAAGGGAGGTGATTCTGCCCCTCTACTCTGCTCTGGTGAGACCTCACCTGGAGCACCGCGTCCAGCTCTGGGGCCCTCAGCACAAGAAGGACGTGGACCTGTTGGAGAGGGCCAGAGGAGGGCCACAAAAACAATCCGAGGGCTGGAGCACCTCTCCTACAAGGACAGGCTGAGGGAGTTGGGGTCGTTCAGCCTGGAGAAGAGAAGGCTGCGGGGAGACCTTATTGCAGCCTTTCAGTATTTAAAGGGGACTTATAAGAAAGAGGGGGACAAACTTTTTAGCAGGGCCTGTTGCGATAGGACAAGGAGTAATGGTTTTAAACTAAAAGAGGGCAGATCCAGATTAGATATGAGGAAGAACTTTTTTACAATGAGGGTGGTGAAACACTGGAATAGGTTGCCCAGAGAAGTGGTAGATGCCCCGTCCCTGTATCGTGGTTTAGCGATTACCCATTTTGCTATATTCCATATACTAGTACCCATCACTATTGCAATTTAGCTATGCTTTAAAAATCAGGGTTGCTCATGTTTTGCTCCTCCCTCTCACCTTAATCAAGGCCTCTGTAATTTAGAAATAGTTTAAACTAAGATAAACTATGTTTGAACCTAGTACTGTCCAGCATAAGATGTAGGAAAAACAATACACACTTATACTGAAAGTAAAAGGAAACAATGCAGTTATACTGAAAGTAGAAGTAAACACTATTAAATATTACACAAGTTTATAATTTAGGACTGTACTAGGTTATTGTGTTTTAAGTATTTTAAGCATGAACATAGATATGATTGCATTTTAATCCACAGCCTTCATTAATCAAAATTACCACTCTCTGGCCACTCTCAGTTTAAGCTCAAATATTTCTCCTTTCCAAAATATATTAAGTTTCAGGTGGATACACAGAGTGAAGGCTGGACAGCAGGGATAAGGAGGTGGTGGAAGATGTTCAGGAAAAAATGCACAAGGGGATCTGGTTATGCAATGGGATACTAGTTATTTCATCAGCCACAAGACCTCATAATTTATTCCCTCTGAGGAATTGAACTGTCCTAAATATCTGTACAGTCTTTGCACAAAACATTTTAGGTTTTCACTTGCAACTCCTACTCTCTATACACAAGGACTGTTAAGCAAGGAAACAAGCAAGAAAATCTTAGTGCTGTCTTTTGACACTATAGGTTATTCCAGTATCCTAGAACCGTAACCTTACAATCAAATAGGAAAAAAAAAAAAATCCCCCAAAACA